ATGGAGGCTCTAGACCCTTCCAGAGCTGAGATATCGAAACTCAAAAATTCAACCCGAAAAAAAAAAAACGAAAGTGGTACCCCTTTCGTTTTTTTTTCTGGCGAAAAATTAAGTTTCTCCAATCTTCTAAAAACTCTGGATTCTGATAGAGGGCCATGAGACTTAGACCTGAGTGCAAAAATGGAGGCTCTAGACCCTTCCAGAGCTGAGATATCGAAACTCAAAAATTCGACCCGAAAAAAAAACGACAGTGGTACCCCTTTCGTTTTTTTTTTTTTCGGGCGAAAAATTAAGTTTCTCCAATCTTCTCAAAACTCTGGATTCTGATAGAGGGCCATGAGACTTAAACCTGAGTGCAAAAATAGAGGCTCTAGACCCTTCCAGAGCTGAGATATCGAAACTCAAAAATTCGACCCGAAAAAAAAACGACAGTGGTACCCCTTCCGTTTTTTTTTTCAGACGAAAAATTAAGTTTCTCCAATCTCCTCAAAACTCTGGATTCTGATAGAGGGCCATGAGACTTAAACCTGAGTGCAAAAATGGAGGCTCTAGACCCTTCCAGAGCTGAGATATCGAAACTCAAAAATTCGACCCGAAAAAAAAACGACAGTGGTACCCCTTTCGTTTTTTTTTTCGGGCGAAAAATTAAGTTTCTCCAATCTTCTCAAAACTCTGGATTCTGATAGAGGGCCATGAGACTTAAACCTGAGTGCAAAAATAGAGGCTCTAGACCCTTCCAGAGCTGAGATATCGAAACTCAAAAATTCGACCCGAAAAAAAAACGACAGTGGTACCCCTTCCGTTTTTTTTTTTTCAGGCGAAAAATTAAGTTTCTCCAATCTTCTCAAAACTCTGGATTCTGATAGAGGGCCATGAGACTTAAACCTGAGTGCAAAAATGGAGGCTCTAGACCCTTCCAGAGCTGAGATATCGAAACTCAAAAATTCGACCCGAAAAAAAAAAACGACAGTGGTACCCCTTCCGTTTTTTTTTTTTCAGGCGAAAAATTAAGTTTCTCCAATCTCCTCAAAACTCTGGATTCGGATAGAGGGCCATGAGACTTAAACCTGAGTGCAAAAATGGAGGCTTTAGACCCTTCCAGAGCTGAGATATCGAAACTCAAAAATTCAACCCTGAAAAAAAAAGACAGTGGTACCCCTTTCGTTTTTTTTTTCAGGCGAAAAATTAAGTTTCTCCAATCTCCTCAAAACTCTGGATTCTGATAGAGGGCCATGAGACTTAATCCTGAGTGCAAAAATGGAGGCTCTAGACCCTTCCAGAGCTGAGATATCGAAACTCAAAAATTCGACCCGAAAAAAAAAACGACAGTGGTACCCCTTTCGGTTTTTTTTCGGGCGAAAAATTAAGTTTCTCCAATCTTCTCAAAACTCTGGATTCTGATAGAGGGCCATGAGACTTAGACCTGAGTGCAAAAATGGAGGCTCTAGACCCTTCCAGAGCTGAGATATCGAAACTCAAAAATTCAACCCGAAAAAAAAAAAAAACCACAGTGGTACCCCTTTCGTTTTTTTTTTTTCGGGCGAAAAATTCAGTTTCTCCAATCTTCTCAAAACTCTGGATTCTGATAGAGGGCCATGAGACTTAAACCTGAGTGCAAAAATGGAGGCTCTAGACCCTTCCAGAGCTGAGATATCGAAACTCAAAAATTTGACCCGAAAAAAAAACCACAGTGGTACCCCTTTCGTTTTTTTTTTTTCGGGTGAAAAATTAAGTTTCTCCAATCTCCTCAAAACTCTGGATTCTGATAGAGGGCCATGAGACTTAATCCTGAGTGCAAAAATGGAGGCTCTAGCCCCTTCCAGAGCTGAGATATCGAAACTCAAAAATTCAACCCGAAAAAAAAACGACAGTGGTACCCCTTTCGTTTTTTTTTTTTTTCGGGCGAAAAATTAAGTTTCTCCAATCATCTAAAAACTCTGGATTCTAATAGAGGGCCATGAGACTTAGACCTGAGTGCAAAAATGGAGGCTCTAGACCAGTGTTTCCCAAACTTTTTTTCTGGGGACCCACATTTTAAAGTCGATAAATCCTTGTGACCCAAAAAACATTAGGCCCATATAGTTCATATATCACGAAGAGAATTTATGCATTAACAAAATATGCATGACCATTTTTTAAGGTCAGTTAAGCTTCCAGTAAACTATTTAAAAGAGGTACAGATATTTGACAACGCACTTTTTTTTTTATTAACCTGTTGTTGACAATAAGCGAAATACAGAGATGAAATGAGAAAGGAAGAGTTGACAGGGCATCTCATTGTTTTCATATTCTCATCGTTACAGTGTATAATTTCGTTACAGGATATAATTTACTATAATAATTATTATAGGCTTAATATCCTGACAATGAGACTTTGTAACCATGCATGGCTCACTACCACTGTATAAAAAATGCCTAAACAGGCAAAAAAAAAATTTTTTTTAAAAACTATAGGTACACACAATTAATTATGTGTTCCTCTACCCCCCTAATAAATCTAAGGCAATATAAATGACTATAACATAGTATTCAATATAAATATTCCACATTTATGCCCAAACCATGGTAAATTATTACATAGGCTATTATATGGTAAATGTTTGTAAGGGTGGTGATTAGGGCATTTAGTCTTCTAACTTTGTTCATGTTTCTTCTATTTACCTCATCGGTAGTGTTGGGAATGTTAAGACTGTTTCATCCAATTTAAAACTATTTAAAATCATTGAGTGATTTGTGGTTTGTAAGAGAGAGTGTCCGATGGAAACGCTTCTCTGGATGTCGCAACACTGTTTAATAATAGTGTCCGGGACCGGGAGTAAACGCAACTCCTTTAAGCTTTGCGTTCCGTTATCCACTGGACCGTGCAGCCTAGTTCAAAGTAAACTAGTGAAACGACTGAAACCAGCGCTATTTTGTTCTCTCTTTGACCGAGAAACCGCTTCAGGTGAACAAATCAGAATCGTTTCAGACCGTTATGCACGCGCGTTTGGCCAATTCATGGAAAGGAAATAATCAAACCAACGAATGATTAATATCGCTGGTTCAGTCGACAGAAATACGGGACACACATAACAAGAACTGCTGAAATACTCGGACTGTAAACGTTTCTCTCAGGTCCGTCGGAGCACTCATGGTGCACACACAGTGCGTAGGCTATAGTCATCCAGCTGCACGCGCCACTGCGGCGACGCGCATATCTAACCGAATTTAGCCGCACCACCAGAAAATAGGAGGAGAGGGAGGTTGGGGTGCCCTCAGCCGTATGGTGATGATTGGCGGGCCGCACTTGGCCCGCGGGCCGCCAATTGAATAGCCCTGATCTAGAGAGTAGCCTTTAGAACACTGAAAAATAGTGCTCGACTTGGCGACCCAGACAAAATCTCCCGCGACCCACTTGTGGGTCTGGACCCCGCCTTTGGGAATGACTGATGTAAACAGCCCCTGAGCTTTAACAGCCAGATTACTAAACATTTTTTTATACCGATTCACACAGAGAACACCAGAAATGTATTTAATGGGTTGTCGAATAACAAATAAAATTAGTAATAACAAAAAAGTATTACATTCTCAATTGGCCTTGGGTTATCTATTTATATATTATATATATACATATGTATTTATTTATTTATTTATTTTATTTGTGACTTTTAATCATTACAGCCTTAAAAAGCATTATGAAGCTTGTAGCCAACTATAAAAGTAATACATGACGTCAATGAATTTTTACAGAACCTTAAGAAAATGAATCTTTGGAGACACTAACTCCCTGAACAGATTACAAGATTAGACTAAACACAGGTAATGGAACATCAGCTGCCAAATGGGCCTTTCCCATAAAATCTCAAATATGGAGCAGCTCCAAGATTCTGACACAACCCAAATCTTTTTAAGGGAAGAAAAACGTCACATCCAGTCTAACTTGTTATATGGTGCCATAAAAGTGGTCCGGTTTGTTTTGAGAGGATCTGCATCTGTTGCTTTCTCCTACAAACTCAAAGTAATTAATGTTCTCCCAAATGTATTAATTAGTGATTCTGGCATGTTGTAACAAGGTCAGTCTATTTTTGTTGTGTTTCTTTCAGTAGATTTTTCCAGAGTACCTCTTCCTACACCAATGCTAACGTGCTTAACTCGTGACAGTAAAATCAACATTAATCATTGCTCAGTTAAATCTCGGTCTACTTGCCATCCTAGCATTGTACGTTAAGTGGAAATTATCTCAAAGCCTGATCTCAGAACATATGAAAATGTCTGACAGAACAGGAAAACCCTGAGATATCCAAATAAGGTGCGGTTATCTCCAGGGACTCGCATTCGTTTCAGTAACGACGGATCATTTCCTATCAGTTTAGCTTAAGGGACTGCCTGAGAGCTTCAATTCCCAGAATGCTTTGCTCGGTGCCCCTAGCCTGCTGTATTGAGACCACACAGGAACTCTGCCATGGCATTCCATTCTAAAAATACACTCTTTACCAAAACGACTTCAGTATAAATAACATACATCCAAAAGTCAGAAATGTTGTAGTGGAGCACAGAGCGTTTGGGAATTCAGAGTACAGTAGGAGCCACCAACCATGACATCAGATGGCTGAGACACATTTATCTTGGCATAGAAGCATGCAACCACAAATCTACATTTGACTCAAGTATGAGTATACTTTTTAAGAAACTGTAGCTGAAAAGCTAATGTAAAAAGAGGAAGTTGGATAGAAGAAATTGCAAAATGAAATCATTCACTTATTGTAAAGTTCAAGACTAATGCTAACTGAAAATGAAAACAGGTGGGAAAAAAATCCACAAATGTGTAAAAGATTTCTCTCTGATGCGAAAATTTGGGTCAATCATCCAATTAAATTTGAATATCTGAATATATTTTTTGTAAATAAATAAATAAAAGAAATTTGTGAAGAAATGACAAATAATCCTGGTACAATAGACCACTTCAAAAGACGTGGTTTAATTTTAAAATCTTATTGTGCATGTTATGCTGATAATTATTCCTAGCTGTGAGTAGGTCATAAGACGTGAGAAAGAAGCAAGAAGTAGGATCCATACTCACTGGTAGTGACTTCTTTGATCATCTCGGCAGATGCGTGGCAGCCAGTAACTATGTGTCTGGTCCAGAGTGATAGGTTCTTGCTCGTCTCTGCTCTGAAGAGGTGGGCTTCGATACCCAATCTGGTTCCCGTTCGTGTAGCAAAGCACAACTCTCCACCAGGCTGCGGTGAACCCTTATCTGGACCAGAATGCACCAGCCTATGATCAAAAAAACTCAACATAAGAGATTTGTTTTTCTGTTGTCTCATCTCAAAGGCCTCCAAACCCAAGCTCCAACCCTTCCATATTCCTTTAAACCAGGGCTTCTCAAAGTGGGGTCCGCAAAATAAATTTCAGGCCCTATGATTTCCGACGGAAAGTTGCGGAATCAAATCATAAAAATGGACTTTGCAGTATAATGTGATATGTCACAGAATTTGGCAAATTATGGATGAATAAATCAAAAGTAGCCCTGTACACTTAAAGGTTGTATCAACAATTGCAGGCCCAAATAAAAATGATCACATTGACACATTCATCTAATCTTTCCTAACGATCCGCTAGCTGACCGCATCTCAAAAAAAACGCATCTCTGTAGGCAGCCTCTCTGAGATCTCCACACAAAAACAAATGGGTACAACCACCACTCCAAATCAAAATAAACAGTGTTCTAACCAATCTAGGAATAAGACTGCTCAAAAACTATTTAATATGAAGTATTAATCTAGATTAATCAAAGAAATAATCTACCAATAATCAGTTCTACTGTTAAGTACACAGCCTTGTTCCTTTGTCTTTTTGTTCGATCAAAGTTTGCAATGTTGTGATTCATAGCTGGTTGGTTTGGTTTATGACTTATAACTTCTTAAAGGAGAACTCCGGTGCAAAAAGAACCTTTGGTCTAATAAAACATCGGTACCTAGTCAATCGTTCTCAGAGATTTGTTTTCATGGTAATCGAATGTAAAGAGTTATCTCTAAAAACTGTTTAGCGTATAATGCTAGTACTGGCGACATTTACTAAGTAAAAAGAAATCGCTAGTTCATACCACTGACAAGGCTCAAAATAGCCCACATTAACACAGTAACATAATGAGGCTCCATACATGCAAAACGAAACATTGAGAACTTTGTAAGTGTACGGACCGTTTAATAAGAAGATACTTTATAAAGACAGTTCACTTCATGTATACAGACAGGAGCCATCTTAGAAAATAGTTTTGATAAGTCGATCCCCGAACGCCGTTCATACAGTTCAGAAGTTCAGGGATCGACTTATCGAGACTGTTTTCCAAGATGGCTCCTGTCTGTATACACAAAGTGAACTGTCTTTATAAAGTATCTTCTTATTAAACGGTCTGTACACTTACAAAGTTCTCAATGCTTTGTTTTGCATGTATGGACCCTCATTATGTTACTGTGTTAGTGTGGGCTATTTTGAGGCTTGTTAGTGGTATAAACTAGCGATTTCTTTTTACTTAGTAAATGCCCCCATTCCTAGTGTTATACGCTAAACAGTTTTTAGAGATAAAACTCTTTACATTCGATTACCATGAAAACAAATCTCAGAGAACGGTTGACTAGGTACCGATGTTTAATTATTAGACCAAAGGTTCATTTTGCGCCGGAGTTTTCCTTTAATGAAGAGTTTGTTTGTTTTTTTATGGGAAAAAAAAACTAATGGGAAAAATACTTCCAGAACCAAGGCCACTGAAAAAGTGGACAGGCACTGTCGCAGTCTATATACTGGTGTGGGATTCAGTTCAATGAGTTGTTTGTGGGGCTGACCGGCTTGACAGAAACTTACGCTGTACGCTGAAACGTACGCAGAGGTTTCACAGAGGAAGTCGAGCCAAAATAAGTTTTGAAAAGTTTTTAGAAAAAGCACAGCTATACTTTCTGCCTTTTTGGACAATACCAGGGTCAACAAAATATTAACACATGCCAACTGAGCCTGTGATAACTGCCCTATCAGCCCTGGAGTGAAATCTGGGCTGCAGTCCAGTTAAACTTGGACTTCAAATCTATCCCTTGTAGCAATAGCTGCCGCCTCATACAGCTTCAACAGGCCTTTAATAGCCGTAATGCTTTTGTACTGTTTCCTTCCAACTGGCTGAGAAAGACTGCAGTTGTGTTTTTAGTTCCCAATTGATCAGCACTGCCATGCAAACATTGTGAGTGTTTGCATGTGTGTGTGTGTGTGTGTGTACAGACAGTTTTGCAGGTGTGTATACCATGATTGGTTTTCCAAAGGTGTGTTTGTATGAATGAACGAGCAAAAAGACAGCTGTAACACTGTGTGTGAGTGTGTACCGTGTAGCGAGCAGAGGGTAGGTGTGTGTCGGGCTGAGCCAGTGTTCTCTCATTCGTGGCATGCTATCAAACAGCAGCAGGTCTTTCTCCGTCAACATAACGAGCACCGGCTTCCAGCGCTGTCTTTCACTTTCCGTCTGAAACACACACACACACAAACTCTGAGTAAAGTTACCATGAAACCCAAAAGAAACCTCATTCATTTTCTTAATGGAAGTTAATATCCCTCATGTATAAAGATTTGCCTGAAAGTATGAACACAAACGTTTTCAGATATACAAGACCTATTCATAGTTCACTTTATTTATCGAAGTTAGGGGGAGATTGCGGGCACATGCACAATCTTCATTCCCCTACCAATCTCCTCCTCAAAACAGCCATGCATCGTGCTTGTGCATGTCCTGCTTTTGGCGAGTTAGATGTGTTCCTGGGTCAACATATTTTGTTGATCCTGGAACAACATTCCAGTCCAAAAGTGTAATCATTACCTTATCCCTACCTTGAAACCTAACCCTACCCACAAGTTACCCCTAAAAGGAAAATTACAATGATGAAGAAGCCAAACCCTAATAGTAAGCCCAAACTTGACGAACCATAAACTTGTCCCTCAAATCTGTTCCAGGATCAACAAAGACGTTGATCTAGGAACATGTCGTACTTAATAAAATCAGGTTTGGCGGTTCACACAATGGCTTTACCATCATGCATAAACTCTTCAGCACATAATTTACATACTGTATGCAAAGCATCTTTGTTTTCTATTAGAACCATTCTAAAAAAACAAGATAAATTTACCAGAGAAGCAAAACCATACAACACCTTGAAAATAAGTGTATTATTCTAACCTCGCAGGAAAATAGGTTTCAGCGTAACCTAAATCAAGCGTAGCGTTAGTTCTAGCAGGTCAAGTTAGTCAAGCTGGCAACTGATCCATGTCAACTTATAGTAATACGACGCCTATCACAGCATCCATATGTAAGCTCTACCAGGTTTAGCTCTAGCAGCTATCACGTTTCTCAGGAGCGAATTATTCCTGGTTCAGATTAAACACTTTTTTTTTTTTTGCCTGTTACGATAGTCACTGTGTCAGATTACGCGATTTTGACTACTAAAATCTTGTCGTGTTGTGGAAATGACATGTCAGACTACACGTTTCCTGACCAGTCTTTAATGGCACGCATGATGTCATCGAGAAGGTGAAACTAGTAGCGGGTGACATCCGGAAACGAACGTAAAAAAACAATGGATAAGCGGAGAGTGTTGTATTGGCTGTCCTGTGTTCAGAAAAACGTTAAAAAAGAAAGAAAACCCGACAATGGACACGTTCCTGGATTGCTCGAAGAGGACATGGGCTGTCAATCCTCCAAAGAGAACTTGAGGTAAAATATTGTTTTCTTATATATATATATACTTTAAGTTTTAATGGTAGCACCATCGTCTCTCTTTAGTTTCGCCATTTTTGAAAGTTGTGTACGGAAAAGCTTCTGTGCTCCTATTGGTCAATCTCATACATGTGACGGAACCGTCGTGGACGACCGTTAAAAAAATGAAACATGCTAGTATTTTTGTCGTGATGTCGTGAAGCATCGCAGAGATGATACGATCGAATCTTGCGTCCCGACGCCCGCTGTCGTTTACAAATCCCCACGACACCCTACGTCACCCTCGGGCTAAAATCGTGTAATCTGAACCAGGCATTACCCTCCTCCATTCCCAGCTCCTCCTCTCGTCCAGACAGGATTTGGCATTCTGATTCCTGTTGAATCAGACTCATTTCTCGGATTATGGTGTATATTAAAATAGTAACATTATTGATATTTGCATACATTCATGTTGGTTCTGTTCTGTTTAACCTAACCTAAGGGGTGTTATCGCTGCTCTCCCTGCTCTTATCCATGCTAGGCTGCATGGATGCGGTGGGATTTCTCGCCCAGAACAGAACCATACCGCCAATCCAAACTCTATGCTAATTGTCAGTCGTATTTGACGATAATGTTCCTGACAGAACTTGAGATTGTTATTTCTTTTCTCTGGTTCTGCATCTATGACCACACTGAGAAGTTTCAGAGGTTATGCTCATTTAGACAAACTGCTTTCTCATTATTTGACCTTTGAGACATTATATGAACGAAAAAGTATAAAAAATATGATGAAGTATTATGACAATGCAATATTATGAGGAAAACAATGCCAATATATTAATAGGATTGTATCAGCCCAGTCTTACTTTGAATGATGCATCCATACACGTTATTCCAGGTAAACTTTGTCCTCATCATCTTTAATAAAATTATAATAACTTGCTTTGCCTCTGAAATGAGTCCCTTTTCGGGTGACTTCACAAATCCCTCTTACTTTCACCCCGCCCCCACCACCATTCTGTTGAGAAACACCCACTTAACATGATCCAATCATTTCTAGGTGAATGAAATTAAGCCCCACTCTAAAACATTTTCACACTGAAAATTGTTTCACTCTGAAATCCATCACATTACAGAAGTGAGATTTGAATGACATTCAAGACTTGACTTTTACAAGCTCAAAAGTACAAAAGCTACAATTGAGTAATAGTTCCAAATGTTGTCCAAATAAGAGCTTAAGTTTAGCCTGAATGCGATTTACTGCTGAAGCTCTCGTCTATGGCACATGTCTCCTCAGGGCTTTGATAGACTGACAGACCACTCAAATCTCACAAATCACAGGGTCAGTTTGTCTCAAGGCTAAAAAAAGAGACCCCAGCGGGGCCGTGTTCATCAGAAGCAGATGCGCAACCACAAAACAGGCCCTTGTTATAAGCACAAAAAAAATCTGCTCGCTGTCTGAGGGCATTCAGCACACTGGTTTTTTCCTCATATAATTATTCATCAAGGGGCCGGCAGGTTGGTAATAGGAGACGGAACGAGTGAGCTCTCATTAAAGGGCAGGCTGAGACTGGGCTGCCCACAGCCCTGCCATCGCTGCAGTTCTCTATTAGCCGGCCCAGCCAGGCCTCAGATAATGAGACGGCGATGAAAAGAAGATTTAATAGGGAGGAAAAACCTGCGGTCACACTGAGAAGAGTAATCCTCCATCAATCAAGCCGGTACCCGCTCACCACGATTTCTGAGAATTTTTGAAAGAAAAAGAAAAACACTTCAGAGGAACTGTCTGTACAGTTTTGAGAATGTTTTACAACCAGAGTGTATGGTATAACCTGGGACCTGCTAACATGTTTGTGAAAAAAAGACGTTGTCCACACAGTTATTATCATGACAGGAACATTTTACAGTGGAACACTAGCATCAAACCAAAGACCTTGAGCTAATGCTGGGTTTTATGTAAGATCTTACCCATAATCTGTGTAATCTTTTCCATATCATACAGCTAAATGACACGCAGAAGAGTTACACTTTCATGCCACGCAGATTCTTTCATAAGCAGGAATATCATGAAGCTAAATTGATGTGCTTTTATATGCAGTTGGACAGTTGAAATGGGATCAATGTTGATCAATATATATTTGGCATGGTAATGGATATGACAATGTTGATATGTCTGTGGTCTTGGTTAAATAGATCTGCTATGCTGCTGTTGGTTATTGGTACTGCTATGTGTACGTCACTCATTGTTTAGAGATTTCGGAAGTTTTACCTTTCACTGTGAAGAGCTAAACGTATTTAGATATACAGGAAATAGCAATGGAAGACGATTTCGATATATCTAAATATGTTTAGTGAAAGGTAAAACTTCCAAAATCTCTGTGTGTAAACAATGAGTGACGTACACACGCAAGCGATCACTTACGGTGGAACGTTGGACATGGTTCAGTTCAGTTCAGTTGGACATTGGACAACTGATTCAGATCACTTGGTCGTGACTGTGGTTACACGAGGTAAAAACGACATAAATACTGTTCGTTTTCTCACACAAACCGCTCGTTTCATGTCTTAGGCCATCAATGTGTAATTACATTTACGAGTCATTAAATCATGTTTAATTTGGACTTCTCTGTGCATGCTCTTTGAGGTGGACCCCCTAAACATGCATTATATGACTGATAGACAAGAACCGTTTGACCGAAAAATGTCAAAATTGAAAATACTGTGGAAACAAAGACACCTACGCCTACACCTTGGATGCCCTTGAGGTGAGCTAAAACATATCAAAAATTAATTTCAAAGTGAGCTATCCCTTTAAGATCATCATATTTATACTGCATTAATCAAATTGAATAGAATCGATTCTTCACCTTTTCCGCTAGCCAGCCGAGGTATCGGATCTCTCGACTCCCGGCGATGCTGTGGCGGCCTGCGTGTTCTCGGAGTTCGCTGATGACTTTGCTGGTGAGGTTTGAGATGGCAGTTTGCATGAGAGTGAACCAGGTCTGGGCAGAGGCTGTGTCTGTATGTCTCATGACTATTGTGTGCTTAGCATCAGAGGAGTGAAGCTCCATCTGCCTGAAACACAAAAAGAAAGAAATAATAAAATTCAGATTCGATTTTAATCTAAATCCAGAGTTCACTGGTCAAGCTAAGGGGTTACTAAAGGAATAGTTCAACCACAAATTGCAATTTTGTCATTATTTACTTACTGCAAGTCAGTTGCACAACATGAATAAGTTAGGCAGACGATAATTTTAAAAAATATGAATAAGCAGGTTTGTTTAAAATAGTTTTTTTAAAAATAAAAACAATAATAAACCATACAATAACTACTTTGAAGGAAAAAAAATTCCCCTCATACCATCAGTGCAGTTGTATTACCCTGACATAGTGACTTTATGTCCTCAAAAAAAAAAGGCTAAATTCATCTTAAATAAGAAATTTAAAAACATTAAATAATAGAAGAGGTGCATTTAAGTGTATGTGTTAATTAAATTTTTAAAGTATTTTTGAAAAAATAGATCTAGATACAGGATGTTTGCCTGAATGAAACAAAGCAACAGATAGAAAAATAACTTCTGCTTCTATAAAATTAGTAGAGTTGAATGAATTATTACAGAACAACTACACGCAATGACATTTGACAACATTTACTTAAACACAAGCCATCTGAGTTGATTTAAAGACGGCAGCCAGGGCTAAAAAGAGCTCTGGAGTCAACATTAGCCACCAGAATACCAGATACACCAGGTTTAAACAGAACCATACATCACTTCTGTTCAGGGAGTTTACAGTGATAAATACTCCACTCATACATCATCCAGAGTAAAAGTCTTAACCTTACACTCCACAATATCATTTTCAGGTGCACCGTGTATGTAAAAATAGATCTTGAAGACAGAGAGTTTGGAGGGGCTTAGGGGGGAGGACTGGGCACAGATGGAGCTGATGTGTTTGCAATAGACTGGAGGAAAGAGCGTTTTGAATGAGGCCCAATGAGTTCTGCCCTTTAAGACTATAATTGGGAAAATTTCACAACTAATGGAGATGCCTGTGTCCAATTTAGGAAGCGAATGTTTCAATTCCTTTTGTGGTCAAATGAGATCTCTCTTAGTAAGCAGACCTCAGAAAGTTACCCTTACAATTCAACCTCAGAGAACTTATGCCATGTTTTGTTTACATAGAAGTGTCAAGTGGCCAAAACTAGTTATTGGTTCGAGTAATTGTAGAGAGGGAATGTGCAGGTCCAGATGGAGAAGGGAAAAAAACTGAAACATAAAAAAATAAAAAGTAATAGATGCCCACCTGTGAGAGCAAACATCATGGTTATCATAAAAAAAAATAAACTAAGATGAATCAATAGAACTGTCCAATGGATTTTATAAAAAGTGGATGTTAGTGAAGAAACAACTCTACACACATTATGGAATACATTATTTCTATGCAGAGATGCTTGAAAGAGTCAATAACAGTGAATTTAACAATGAGAAGCAGAACAAACACTGAGTATTTCACTGAAATGGCCAGAGACAGAGTGGAAAATGGTCACATACTACTAAATTATGACTACTAAAAAAATAATATGACTACTAATTATTAAAGACAATACATTAGTGGATATTTGGAAAAGATTAGATTGGTATTAGGGGTTGGAATCTTAAGGCACCTCGCAATCCGAGCGACTAAATAATTATCGATCTACATATTTATTACTAATCAAAGAGTTTACCGAGACAATATAATTTTTGACTAATGTTCATACAACTTATTTTTCTGGAAAAAAAATTGTGTGTGTTCTTTTATATATAATGTTTATGAAGACATAAATGTGTATAATGACATGGGTATTTAAACATGGTTAATGAGGACAATATAATTTTTGACTAAAGTTCATACAACTTATTTTTCTGAAAAAAAAAATTGTGTGTGTTCTTTTATATATAATGTTTATGAAGACATAAATGTGTATAATGATATGGGTATTTAAACATGGTTAATGAGGACACTTCCTGTGTACTCAAACCAAATGGCTTAAAAAAAAAAAAACATACTAAAAAAATGCCTTGAGAAAAAAATTCTGTTATGGGTGGGTTTAGAGGTAGGGTTAGTGCGCCTAGAGTGCCTGTAAACCACACAAGTACGTATGTGTGTGTTACGTCTTTCTATATTTCCACATATTACCTCTTTCTATATTACCTCTTTAAGCTTCTTTAATTCAATTGTCTTGTGGCAAAAAAAAAAAAAAAATCGAGTCTTTTAAAAATTATTTTAAAAGCAAAAACCAAACACAAACTTTATATTAAAAAATATATATATATATATATTTTTTTTTTTCTCATAGGAATGACTGAGTAATGCTCATGTCAGAGCATGTGTGCACCACTAGGCCATCTCTAACGAAAATTAATTCACTTTTTAATTAATCATTTTGGGAGAACGCTCTTCTATTTACCATCAACACCCCAATTAATGAGTCAAAGAGGACAAAATGAATAAGATGAACTAAATTTAGATGGTCTCCAAACACAATGTGTCAAACCAAACAAGAGCAAGAGTAACAGAAGACAGATGGAAAGGTCACTGACACATCTGGCGTGAAGGGACATTTCTATACCCCAAACCTCCAGCTACTCTAACTTCCACCAAAACAACTCCAGTTACGGATCCACTCTGGACCACCAGAACGCCCAACAGTCCAAAGAAATGACAACAGTGGGAGGGGGCACGTTCTATTTTTTTTTTTTTTTTTCAGATGGATTTTGTTTAGGAATTTGACAGGAATCCTCTCAAAGTGTGGCACTTGAGGTAAGCCATGAATGTCTGCAGAGTTGATAGAGCTCCGCATGAGCACCACAGTGATGGATGGGCTAAAAGACATGGGACACAATGGTGTAAATTGAAAACAGAGCTGGAGGGTGTGAGCCACAGAGCTCCTTACTGACATGCCGCAAGGCAGGAGTGAAGTCTTTCGTCTGTCTGTCTTTCCTGTCAGTTTATCTCACCATCAGTCTGGCCACCTCAAATATCTTATAAGCAGTGCTGCTGTTATATTGAATATTAACAGGGCTGTGATTCCTCTGAAAGCATTCAGCAAAGCAAAAGTGATATTGCGTGATTTCATTTCATCATAACATTATAGTAAATATCAGCATTATTAGAACACCACTTGACCAATCAGACTGAAGACTGTTTTAAAGGGTACAATATAGCACAACATAGAAAAATAAATAAATAAGGGTTTGGTCACATATAAATTTGCAATGCATTTCAATGGAATCTGCAAGTTTTGAGTGAGTGCCAAAAAAAAAAAAAAAAAATCCCCAAATGGATTTTGCACTGGGTTCACTGATAAAAATGATTTTGTAAATACTACAGAAAAAAACAAATGTTATTTCTACATGAAAAAGTTAGTTAAGAAGAATATATATATATATATATATATATATATATATATACAAATAACCGAGGTGCGCATTTGTATGTAAGTCAACAACTCCCACAATGCACCACATTGCACAGCTCTGCAAGCCACACCCACTATTCCGGAACAGTGAAAACAGAGAAATCACTCTTCCATCTACAAGGCTAACGTTAGCTGTCACCAGAGTTAGTTGTAGTTAGTTGGCTGTGACGAGCAGGAAGATGGAGGGCGAGGGACGTAAGAGGACAGCGCGAGGCCGGTAACGTAAGTGACAATGAAAGACACCTGTGAGGCGCGCGCCGTTCTCGCGTCTCTCATTGAGGAGCAAAAGCATAAAATGAGGAGCGACGATGGCAGATTGAGAGAGAAACAGGCCTGATTTTATGACACGTTTTGTTTCTGTTGTATATAACGTTACAGCAGTCGTCAATGAGGGGCTGCTGGCTTATACTTTCGTTTTGTATTTGTTCATTTTACTATTAAAATGTTTCAATGTTCGCCGGTTCCCGCCTCCTTCTTCCCACAACAAACCCTGTTACATTGGCAAACTCATTAGTTAGGGATGCACCGATATGAACATTTTGCCCGATACCGATAACCGATAATTCTTTATATTTAGCTTTAATATATCAGCCAAATTTTATTATCGGGCCGATAACGAGAACACAAAAATGAGCAAATATCGGCCGATACCGATATGGTGGCCGATATATCGTGCACCCCTATCATTAGTGAATTACTCCTCGTTTGTATTTATTTCTATATAGTGAATTACTGCATGATACCGGGATGTTCAGTCAGGCGAAACTAGGATGGTTCACATCACAACACAAACGTCCATGTGCTCATCTGATTCAGAGATTTCGTTCAGGAGAAATTGCCATCGTTGAAATTGTCTGCAGCAGACGGACTCTATCTGTGTCCGTAGTTCACAGCGAGAGCACATGCACCAGCAGTCCGCCCCGCTCGAGCCAGTCCGGCTCCTCGACCGCGACAGGCAGCCGCTTCCTGTTCCTCCATCAGCCTCAGCTGTTCTTCACTATATTGCGGCTCGTTAAGATAGCCACGAACATCGGATTCGAGCAGCAGAATTAGAGCCAGACCGATATATCGGCAGGCCGATATTATCGGCCGATATTAGGCATTTTCCAAACTACCGGTATCGGCAGTTATAATGGCCAATAAATGGATATTTCAAAAATAAATAAAAACCATGAACCATGTCATGAGTACTCTACACCGTCCCTGTGGGCAACACTCGTTGAGTTGGTCACGATACATACATTGCTTGAATAACAATTAAAAGAACATCCCCATCAGTTCTCTTAACTCAAAATTTGTGGCCGGCGGAAGTTTCCTTGGCCAGTTATATTGAAAATGTATGTTTTACAATTTGCAGTATGACGTAATCCATTGCTAAATTATGGTTCATCATAGACTAGCTAACCATAAAGCTAGCTAATGCCACTATCATCAGTCTGTTCTGTTGAGACAATAAAAGAAACTTTTAGAAAGTTTCTTTTTAAAATGCATTATCCTATTATTTTGGTTAAAACTCATAAATAACTACAAATAACTAATGTTAGGGAAATCTGTTAATGTTTTGTTGCGCCTTTCTGAAATAATTTTTTTTTTTTTAAATATCGGCCGATATAACGGCATATCGGATTTTAAAACCAAAAAATATTTGTATCGGTATCGGCCTTCAAAATCCTTTATCGGTCGGGCTCTAAGCAGAATCTCAAAATCCTCTTTTTCCATATCATGTTTAGTTTCTTCCGTCATTATCATACTTCCTATCTCCACAGCGCTTGTTAGCTTAGCTTCCAAGATGGCTGATTTTGATTCAGTATCTGCAAGTGAAGTCCCACCCACTGATCTGTAATTGGCCTGTAGGGTGAGTGGGACCCACATCCTTTAATAATAATAATGAGCTAATGTTTGTAATCTCTACACTTTTTAATAAAATCTGACTTTCTGCTTATGGGCTCTATGCACGGCGGTATTTCCAGTGAAGGTGTAAGGATGTTCGATATCTTCCGCCGATCGTAAAGTCAAATGCAATACCAAGAATTTATATTGAATTTTATACTCCATGGTTATACTAAAGAAACGTTAGTCACAAAAACAGACACCCATTGTTGTGTTTATGCTTCAATTTAAAATTATATTAAATAAACATAACTATATATAAAATTACATCTAATCGTATTAAAGTTTCGTTTCAAAGACGGGACGACAGTAAATTTTGAAGACTCTGCCATAATCCCGTTTCCTCGGTTTTTCACCACTTTAATCTCCCCAACCGGAAACTGACGAGCATCCTTGCGTCAAATGCGGAACTTATGTGTGCATATAGCCCATTATGATGCAAAATTATGATTTTTACGTCATAATAAGCAGGAAGTAAAACACTTAAATCCTTATTTCTCCAATCTCAGGGGAAAATAACGGAATAAACCATGACCATTCAAAAATATGACTGGGTTTACAAAGATACAAAGCTTAATGCAAATGGGTGAAGTGTCCCTTTAAAGTCAGCATGAAACAGAAGTTGTTGGATTTTGTCCATTCGAAATTGATTGGATGGTTTGTGGTTTGCTACTGCTATATGATCTCATGTGATTGACAGGTTTCTCTGCCTTCGACCCAGTACTATGACAACACGTCATAGAAGAGATGAGATGTTGCGGCAAAAGGGAGGGGAAGTTATTTTATGAGGGCACATGAAATTAAAAAAAATATATATTATTTGCAAGGAAATATTATTTATTATAAATACTACCCTAATAAAACAAGATTTGTCCATATCTTAAACATTCCAGCAGCTCACTAAGGCAAAGTCTTACAGTGTTTTTAAAAAAGATGTGACGTTCCTCTTGTCATTATTGTAAAGCAGCTCCGGCACATCACCTTTTAACATACTTCCTGTGAAATGTTATGGTTAATCTCACAAACCACAATGTTCACTTCTCTCACGACAAAAGTACAATATAGTGCAAAAATAACATGCAGATTCGAGAACAAAAAACACTGTGGTTGGTGGGATCGCTAGAGCAAAAACACATTCATCAACACAAAATAAAACATCTGAGACTGATATTTTATTTAAAATATTTGCATCCTCAAAATAAAAGTTTGTTTATATATATATATATATATATATATATATCAATACTTCTTGTTTAGAAAATGGTGAATATGTTTCGAAACACATGTATTATGTATAATGGCATTTTTTTTATATAAATGGGAGACTTAGTACATATTATGCATGTTTAACTATATTGCATTGATACACTACAGACCAGATAATTATATAGGTCACATACACATACAGTACCGTTTAAAAGTTTGGGGTCAATACGATTTTTTTATGCTTTTGAAAGAGGTCTCTTATCTTCACGAAGGCTGCATTTATTTGCCACATGATTCTTCAGAAATCATTGTAATCTACTGATTTGCGGATCAAAAAACATTTACTATTGTCATCCATGATGGTTGTGCTGCTTAAAATATTTGTGGAACCCATGATAAAAACACGCATGTAGATCATTAATCTATAAATAAGTACATCCATATAAATGTTCCAGTTTATCTACTGCACATTGCTAACCTGAAAACGTACTGTTACCTTTTTGCACCAAGCATCATTTTGGCCTCTTGATAAATATTGTATTTGTAATTTTACTATTTATTCTTTGAACATGTTGTGCAAATACGTCACAGGTTTGGTGTTTGGCTTCATGTCTTCATTTTGTTGAGTGGTTTTTGGGTCCTGCTCAAGCACTCTGGCAACATAGGAAAACTTTGAAGTCATTGTTGACATGGACTTTGATGTTGTCCTCCATCACTTTTGAATATATGAAGGCTCACTGACAAGCAGAGGACACTAGCACTCTTTAGACATCAAACATGACGGAGTGAGCGACCAGCATAAAGCATTAGTTGTGTGGAGTGCATTACCAGGCTGTCATCCTGAGACGGCATTAATGTCAAAATCATTTCTAATCACTTTCTCCACCATCTTTAACAAGCATGTCCAAACAAACAGTGCACAATCTGTGCTTGCTTGGGGGTTACAAAAATTGAATCACAAGCATACGAAAACATAACGTGTGGGTTTAGAATGACAAAAGTTTCATAGGTAAATGATAAAGAATGATAAACCAATGATCCTTTTTAGATGAGCTATGTAAGCACTATTTGTTTAATTATTTTTCTCTTTTTGACAAGAAACTGAGTAGGAGACAAATAAAGAAAAACAGTTAAAGAACTAGTTTTTATTGTAAAGAAGAGCATGTGGTCTATTTGGAAATAAGACTGTCCTAACCATAACCTACAAACCCACTTGTCAAAGCCACACACTTGGCCCTGTTCTGGTCTAGGTCTAAGGATGATAAGTGAATTTCCTGAAAGGCCATCAAGAAAATGCAACCAAGTGAATTAAATTCATTCACATATGCACACATTCATTTGTGTATACTATACTGAAAATGGCTCTAGTTGAGTTGTTTGCACCGCTGTATTGTACTATTGGTCGTTTAACATTTCAATGGTATCACAGTTGTCAACTATTAAATGTTTAGCTACTTAAATCTTACACACCTCACTTTTTGACCAATAAAACTGAAGTTTCATGCTGTAATTCACACTTTGCTTCTGTAAAAAGTATTAGTAATGCCCACCTTCTTTGATTTGATTGCCCATCTCAGTCATTCTGGCATAAACTATGTTTCCATCCACCTATTTTTATGCCAATGTTGGGAAAACCACTGTATGCAACTGGCAAATTCTAAAAATGCGCATTAAAAAAAAAACGTATAGCCTACACTCCTTTGAGGAAATGCCTCAAATGAAGTCAATGTTTGTCATCAAAATGGTTGGGTACAATGACCCTCTAGAACTGACACACAATTGTAATCCCAAACATCAGGCATCCACATCCAAACGCAAGATAAATAAATTGACCGCTGGACCTCTAGGTTGAAAAATCGTCAATGCAAGTGAATGAGAGAAAATAATTATTTTCTAATCCCGTTTGAATTTTGCAATGAATGTGAACATATGTTGTCTGTGAATTTTTTATATAATGTTTCGTGTAAAGAATGCTACAATTTAGTGGGTAGAATTTTCATACGGTTAGACTTTGTGTGAGAGCACTTTGTGGACTACAACTCTTTCGAGGTGTTTGATATACATCACCCCCACTAGCACACGGATCCCGCTAAACATGCCTGTGTCTTTGGTGCACTTCACCGCCTTCTTTCAGGGAGAGGACAAACTAGTTGAGGTGGTGAAAACCGTGATTTGTGAAGGGAAAATGTGTGTTATGCGGCGACGTCACATATGCGACGTGTAGTCTTTCTCGTTATGTCTATTCCACAACTGCTAGCCAAAGAATCATACAATATACTGTCAAACTCGTTACGTGAGAAATTATATTAAAAAAATTCACAGACGACATATGTTACATTCATGGCACAATTCAAACGGGATCAGAAACGCTTTTTTCAACCTAGAGGTCCAATTGGAGTTTTACGGATGGGCGGGACTTACCAGCTCTATGTCTACGTGGTGTCTTGATTCGCACGTTTTATTATGTATATTTTGCATCAACTTTCCAGGAAGTGACGATTTTCGGAAATAACGTTTTATTCATTTTATGCGTTATTCAAATTTTGCGCAGCTACGGATGGAAACAGCTATTACAAGAGCGCTGATCAGCTCATGAGAAAGTATTTATTTGGTAATTATTTTATTACTTTTATTATACCCCTCGAAAGAAATATTACTCCATAAAAATACAATATCAATTATTTCCCCAAAGTATGAATTCTTCCCAATGTTGAATTCAGTTTGAAACCATTTGCTATCATGTTCATTAAAATATTCTGTAATGTTTTACACATTTCTTTATTGGACTTAAAGTAATGCTGCAAGTTTGAAAACTTCCTGTGATCAAAATATTGAATGCATAAGAAGCAGTACCTGTTTTCTGGGTCAGGGACAGTCATACTGCGGGTGATGTAGCACATTTTGAGGGGGATGTATCTTCGGTCGCCCTGTAAGGACAGTGAGGGGGGGCTAGGAATATCGAAGTGAGGACTGCCGAGACGAGGGGACTCAGGAGGCGGGGTCTCCCAGCCAATCTCAGACACCGGTGAGCCTTTTTTCACATATGGCGTTGCTTCCCGCATGTATTTCACTAGAACAAAAAAGAAACGGGTCATGACTACTGTGTACCGTTTGCACATTCTCTTCATCTCAGCTTCTTTTATGAAAACAAAAACAGTATATAGACGCACATACCTAAAGAGATCAACACAAAACGCCTTTGCGAGTTAATTTTCCATCAAGTGTGTGCACTGGGCCTTAGCCAGTCAGAAATGAAAGCAGGAAACCCCTACGCAAACCACTTTACCCCCACAGCTGTCCTGAGTGAGGAAATCAATTCACAGCATATTTGCATACTATTCTATTGCATTTCTAGAAGATTGCTGCTGGCTTTATGACAGGGCAATGAACTTGAGGCTGAAGCATCTACACATGAACGTGCTGATAACAATTACAACTGCCATGCTTCTCAGGTATATGTCACGCTAAGGGCCAATTATTCCAATTCCATATGACAGATTAATCTTTACAGGAAGCAGTTGACCATGTGAGCACAGGGCTATTTCACAATAGTAGAGGCATTTCACAAATTAGAATGGGCTGTTTGGCTATTTGGCATGACATCAATTTGGTTAAAACGTAATCATTCTGAATGCCTGAGGGCAACATTCAGTTTATTACATAAATGCTTCTCTCGGCAAAAACTTTTGCACATATATGCTGCAGTGTGTCAACACAACAGAATGATTTATTACAACACAATGACACTTAAAAAACAGGGTACACTTTAGTGTCCCATTACTTTTTAAATGACTGAAGACATTTAAAGATAACAGTCATTTTTCAGCTCATTTTTTTTTATTCAGTGTTGTTTCAATTCAGTTCAATAACTGCCAATATAGCAAAGTTCATAAACAAATTACTGCATTATAGTATTCTGCATTATTACAGGATTGCAAAATTTGCAAACCTCATAAAATTTAGTTTGTACCTCCTTTGGTATCTTTCCCTGACCATTTGTTGGAAACATCAAGTATTGAGTTTGAGTATTTGAGCATTTTTTACTCTCTGGAATGCATCCATTCACTCTTTTGTCTAAAAATGGATCCTGAATTTAGGATAAGAAGTTTTTGCTATTGTGTGCTATTGCTCAAGTAACACACACAAACACACACACAAGAGAAGAGAAGAAACAAACATACATTTTCTATCTGCCTCCAACTGTACTCAGTATGCGTTATCATGAACTTTAGTTCACATGTTAACACAACTTACAAAGCTGGTGTCACTAAGGCTAAACGCCTAAACAAAAACCCCTGTCTTTACAACTTCACACTGATAAGATTAAGAACAAAACAAAGCAAGATAACAACCAACATAATCCATATACTCCATAATCCATATATCCATATATCTAAATGCGGAGACACAGTGAGAAGTTCAGAATGGTACTGCCAAAGTCTTACGTGTAACTGTGTACTTCACGGTCAAGGATTCTTCGGTCAGCTCTTGCATAAAACATTACAACTCAGAACTTTAGAGTCCACCACACAGCAGGTGGAACTCTATTCACAGGGCTAAAAGCTCCTGTGGTCCTTTATCCTCAAGGACAAGTTAAGAGACTAGCTACAAACACAAACTTATGAAAAGACTTTCTATGTTCTACAAAGGCAAAGGGATAACTTTGTGCTAAAACAGTTAGTTATATTTTTGCTTATTTACTTAATCATGTCACTTCAGTGCCAGACAAAAGATGTTATGCAAATCTTCTTGACGTTTTGTGAAATTTGAAGTTTTTTTCTTCCCTGTGCGGGGTAGTTTTTGTGTTACCCAGCCGTTGGGGTAGTGGCTGGGTCAATCACACTGATAGTAGAAGCAATACACAACTCCACACCCTCCCATAGATTCCTTATTCACGTGCACCATCTTTGAATGGTCAGCATATCATCGTGATGGGAAGTTTGGGTCATCATTTGGGTCCTCTTTGAGTCTCCTTCAGCAAAATAAACGAATCTTTTTTCCAAGTCATTTTGTTCACTTCAGCAAAATATAATTAAAATGAGACATGTTAATAGCCAAATTCTCCAACACATCAACTTGCAAACTCTCGAAGAAGAGTTTAATTATCGAAGAAATGGGATAACCTTTCACAGAGAACAGTATATATTGTGGTTATTGCTATGGTACTTTTTAATAGGGATGAACTAAAATGAAAATTCTAGTCCAAAACTGAAATTTTAGCTTTTTCATTGGAAATGGATAACAGAGAATCGCTGGTTATTGAACTAAAATGTTAGCCTTAGCCTAAATTATTATTTCTAAAATTCTGTATTCAGAACCATATTAATCCCAAATAAAATACATATCCTGGAAACACATGGTTGTGTAGTGTATTTTACAAAATTCTGCTGGATTTACTGGTGAGTTCAAATAATAACCCATGTACGAGGTAAAAATAAGGTAGTATTACTGTACAAATGAACTACCATAAATCAACCCATTATGCTGATTTAAATGAACAAACCGTGCTAGAATAACCCATGGCTGGGTTTGTTCATATTTGACCCATAAGTGGGTTGCAAAACAACTCAAATTTGGCAACTTTTGACCCCACATTGACTTTAAAGGCAATAGGCTTCCAAGCAAAATGGAAATTATGAAAATTAGCAATGAGAAATCTATGTTTTATTGAAGAACGATCCATGACAGATGGAACATTCACACCTGGGAGTAGACAATAATTGCTCTCATTATGATGTGCACTCAAAAGAGAATGTTAAAAGTGCAACAGCTGAGAACACAACAATGAGAATTTAAATAGGAACCTCAGTTGCATGACCACAGTAAGCACCACTGAAAAGTCAAAAATCTGTCCATAAATTCAAATAGGTTTTTATTCACTTACTCAATTTCAAAACCTGGTAAACGCAGTTACGCCACTGTGAATGAAGCATGAATAATTTGCTGTCAGGGTGAAGCCAAACTCCATTAGAGCTGGGCAATTTCTTTTAACAATGTTCAACAATATTCAATACATCCAATACCGTTCAAAAGTTCACACATCAGTTATGAAAAATTAAAGCTGAAGCATGTTCGCTTTATACTATGAGGTTCATTATCGTGTTATGCAGCACATTTGAGCTTCTGCAAAAAACAGTGAGGTTAGCAAAACAAGTTTATGATCGCTGATCAATGTTTATATGCATAAAAAGCTAAATTCAAACTGTTCATCATATAAAGCAATCGTGTCTCTTCAGAAACTTTGGCCTAAACAGCTCAATTCATGTGGATTAGTTTTACAATCTCTTTATGAACTTTTTGAAGAGCTAAAGTGGTAGTTGCATAGCCGTCTAAATCTCAGATGTTATTAAAAATATCTTCCTTTGTGTTCTGATTCCAAAGATAGACAAATTTCTTACGGGTTGTGTGGGACGACAAGAGGAGGGTAAATGAGGACAGAAATTGTCTTTTCGGTTGAACTAATGTTTTTGAAAGACGTCGCTTATGCTCACCGAGGCCGCATTTATTTGATCACAAAAACAGCATTATTGTGAAATATTATAATCATTTTAAATAACTGTTTTCTATTTGAATATATTTTAAAAATGTAATTTATTTTTGTGAGGGAAAGGCTGAATTTTCAGCATCCATTACTGCAGTTTTCAGTGTCATATGATCCTTCAGAGATGATTCTAATACGATGATTTGGTGATTAAAGTTGACATGAATCAGAAGTTTTGATAGTCTTTTCTTCCCTATTGTGATATATATCCAAGTAAAATTGCAAAAAATGGATGGATGGATCACTTGCTGCAGGTTTTGGTTTGCTATTGCTATGAAGTCATATGAGTGACAGGTTGTCCCGCCTTCATGCCAGAGCAAAATGTCATGTCATTTCATGTCATGTCATGAAAGGAGAGAGGAGAGGAGGGACAAATGTCTGATTAACGATAACGAGGGCACGTTATTAAAAATAATAATGATGAGCACGGATAAATCTTTTATTATAAATACTGCCATAGTCCATAAAAAAATATTTTTCCATTTTGATTTTATGTTGACTTTAAGAAACATTTCTTATCATTAACAATAAAACTTAACCAAAACGGTAAGATATTTGTATATTTGTTTGAACAGCAGTGAACAGCATGTCAATATGTAAAATGTTTCAACCTAATAATAAACAGAGCAATTCCAAGTGGGTCCTCACACCATCGGTGCTCATGCCCCAATAACCATTAACCATTAAGTCATTTAATTTTTTATTTATATTCTATACAAATACCCAACAACATACCAATAAACAGCAATATTCACTATACATATATAAAAAAATACATGAAGAGACTTCTTGAGCAAATGTGAATCATAGTTTTGAATCGAATCACTGAAACTGGTTATGTTGGTTACTGTTACAACACCAGCAAAATCATTGCAATTACATTGCATAACATGATCACATAGCAAGTTGGTTGTTCAGAAGAGAACAGCTGGGCTCGAATAGCAATTTTAAACCTAAATGTCTTTTTCTCCAGGTGGTTTGTGCATTTAAAACATGAGATCAATGTTACATGAAACCAGTTATTCTAGTTTCGTGGCCGCAGTTCAAATATCTAGTTTACCATGTGGAGTTGACTTTATTTGAGAATACACATTCCTTTGTCTCCTGACCTTTGTTGAAGGGAATGTTGGGAATTAAAGCGAATTGAAAGAACTGGCCAAGTTGCGTTACAAACATCAGGTTGGATCAAGGAAATGATATTGCTGTGGATGATTAAAACTCGCATTTTCCTTAACCATTAACTAACTGGGCAACAATACTGAAGTAAACAACAGAACGACAGAGCTTGCATGTACCGCAGATGTGTTGTCCCTGCTCCCAGTATACTGGATGCTTTGAGGATGAGGTCATGTGACTTGTGAGAGTGGTCTTCACTACATGTTTCCCTCCCTCTGTAATAGATACTGTATAGTCCTCATTCCAATCCCCGTCTCATTCTCTCTCGCTTTATCATTTATTTACAATTCTGAATCAGTGAGTGAATGAGAAAGAACAGAAAGCATAAGGTGGCACATTCCAGGAACTATTTATTTGTACCTGTGGCTTATGCATCTTAGTTAAGATTAAACTACGCAGTTTGCAGAGTCATTCTGTCACACTTTGTACTAGTAATATCGAGAATGTGCTTCTTTGACTTCCAGAGTGTTTCCTTTTCCCTATTTCTGAGTTTACTTCTACAGAGAGTCTTCGCTTATGACTATAATTTAGGGAACAGTGATTCTAGTTTAAAGCATATTGAATAATACAGATACTAAATCCCATTTTTGTAGAACACTCATCTGAACACTTTTGAGTGCTTTTTATCTAGGTTTTAAAAATGTGATTCTTTGTTCAAAGAGAAAGAAAAATGCCCTTTTTTACTTCAACTGGCAAATTGCTAATTTGATGCATGATGTTTTTATGCATACACTCTAAAAAATGCTGGGTTGTTTTAACCCAATTTTGGGTCAAATATGGACAAACCCAAAATTCTGGGTTAAAAATGTTATGTAAAAATTTAACCCAACGGCTGGGTTAGTCCATATTTGACCCAAAGTTGGGTTAAAACAACCCAGCATTTTTTAGAGTGTAGTGATTTAAAAAAAGACAAAAAAGTAATTTTTACTTAAGTCATAACTAGAGAATTGGGTTTTTTTTTTTTGTGTAGCTATCAACTTGTCAAACGCCTTGAGACTTTACTTATTTTTTTTGTATCAGACCTTGACTTCAAATTGACTAGTCTGTAATTTTGCCAAAGACATTGACTTGTCCCCCAGACAAATGTGTTTCTCAAGAATATAGACGAAAAATGTGAAAGGGCATCAGGAAATATGTTAAAAGACTACAGTGTTGATTGATAGAGTGGTGACAAAGTAAAATTCACGTTTGGTGTAGTAAATCTGTAAGAGTAAAAGGATGTGCAGATATTTCTGGCAAGTAACATCAAATTTAATTATTCAAAGAAGCCAAATCCCAAGGACAGGACAAAGGAATCATGGGCCTTCATTTGACATGCAAAACTCACTCGCTTGTGCAAATAGCCAGCTTTATGGACAACTGGTTGATATTTTAGATGATCTGTTCACTGTAATAGTCTTGCTACTGTACTACTACTGTACAATCCAAACTACTGTACTCAATTGACCTATGAATATGGTAAAACTAGTTATATATATATATATTTTTTTTTAATCAGAATTTGTGATGATACCATGAGGGCTCCACAGGAACCAAAAAAAAGTCTTTATATCAGATTTGGTAAAGCTTTAATGTAATAATTAATTTAATTATCATTTATGCACCCTCCTGTTGTTCTTTCTTTCACGGAATACTAAAGATGTTACCTAGATGGGTGACTTGAGGGTTGTCAAGCAAGTCAATACTATAGAGCGCTAAATTCCAAGTCTTTTGAAGTTGTATGATAGGTTTGTGTTTTGAACAGGACAAAATTGTATTTATTATTCTCTGAAAAACCTGGCATTTGCCATAGCTCTCAAATCTTATTCATGCTATTTGAATGCATGTACATATTCAAATGTGGTGCACCAGGATTGGTTATGAGACACATGAGAGCCAATGAAGTTTAAAAGGATAGTTCACTCTGAAAATGAAAACTCTGTCTCAACCTCAAGTTGTTCTAGACTTGTATGAGTTTCTTTTTTGAAAGACCAAAACAGTTGTTGGCCCCTATGCCTTAGATAGTATGAAAGAAAAAAGTACTATGGAAGTCAATGGGCAGCAGGAACTGTTTGGTTGACAAAATTCTTCAAAATATCTTCTTTTGTGCTCTACAGAACAAAGAAACTCATACAAGTTTAGAACAACTTGAGGGTGAGTAAATGATGACAAGTGAACTATCCCATTAATTTTCATTAACATCAAACCCGGCATTACACGACTTGATGTGTACTTACTCTCACCCTCTGAGATAAAGCCAACACAACACTTTGGCGAATTTGTATAAATTCATAATACCTCAATTGTCCATTTTCATACAATTTGCTTACGCCCAACTGAGGGTTAGTTTAGGTGTGGACCTTCAAGCCTAGTTTTTTTCTTAAAACCAAACATTTATAAATTCATTTGAAATCCCCAATTCATAAAATGGTTACATTTTGTCATGAGATCGGGTTGGAAAAAATAGCGTCAAGCAATACTCTGCTAAACTTCCATGGAGGAGGACACAGAGTCATATAATACTGGAATAATATGAAGGAGAGTAAAAATGACTGTCCAATACCATTTTATCCAAACGTGGACATCTGCCCATCAGTGACTAAACCACAGCACAGTCTGACATGACCGCCGAAGGCAGATCAATTCTGAAGAATGAGGATATGACAAAAAAAGTTTAGCACATCTGTGTTCACTTAGTCACAAAGACGTCAGGTGGGGAGCTGCAAAGTCACTGAACAAGCCTGGCCAAATATAGATGTGTAATCTTGGTATCAGTTGCATAAATCAGCTTGAAAGAAACTAATTTAAATGTTGAATTTCCAAAGTAATCTGGCAAAGTTACTTTCTGTCATGCAAGCCTGTCAAACTTTTATGGCGATTCAACAGGGAAAACACCAAAATCAAAACATTCTTCTCCATGGCTGATTGGCTGAATGCCCAGTTTAACTGATTTACAGAAAATGACTAATCTGACCCTCAGGTCAGTGTACAGGAAAATCTTTGAATATCATAAAAAAAATTCAGCACAGTGCTGGTATGGGGTTAAAGTCTTGTGTAGCAGTCTAGCAGTGAACTGCTAACACGACCGATAGAGTAAGAGCATTTGCATTCTCCCATCATACCACTAACGATGTACTCTGTGACCGAGATTTTAAGATGTACAGAATAGTATGCGCATTACAACAGGATGTATTCTTACAATGGCATCTTTTACAGGATAAATACAATACATTTGCCTGAATTGGTGCACTTACTGTAAATTGTCCTTTATTTTGATCTCAATAACTATTAATATTTTGTAATGCGCAGAGATATGTATTTCCCTGGCCGCAATATGCTAGGAATTTAGCTCTTAATTTGAATAAATTAAACAAGTTTGCATATTTTGTACATGGTTTGAAATGGTACATCCTTTTTCCACTTTATTTCCTGTACCAGGTATTTTCAGTCTTCCTGCTGTTGCTCACGTATCTAACCACATTTTCTATGATCCTCAGCTGTATTGTGAAAATCAATGAAAGTTATAAACGTCGTTCTGAAATCTGTGCTATGCTTTTGATGCAGTCCCAAGGGAATTTAATAGCTTTGTCACACTTAAGGGTGCTTTCATCCTCAACGTACAACACTGGAGGGAACAGCAAACATGTCCATGACTCCAGCAATGACTCAGACAGCAACATAGTGTCGGCCCAGATCCGGGACACATCTGGTATGCGTTGAATTCACACGTGCCAGATGTGGCAAGGATCTGGGCCGACACTATAGTGCTGTCTGGGGACCGTACGTGTAAGCCAAGGACGTGTTTGTGGTAGCCTACAGTCAGTTTTGCTTAAAAAGCACACACAACTTAATCCAATGTGACCTGCAGGTCTGATAGGCTAACTGGTGTCTGAGATGGTATTTGGTTTAGCAGGGTAACTTGTTGGGTGATAAAAAAAATACACCAGTCAAGCATGTGAGATGGTTTTGGAGAGCTATATGTGCACAGACCAGCTTAACCTGGTTTACAATGCCATAGAAGAACAATTTTACATTCTTCTGTCTGTGGACAATTTGAAGTGTTGAAGAACAAGTTGAAGAACAATCCAAAGAATCCTTTTCTACTAAAAATAATCTTGAATGTTCCATGGATGTTTAGGTTCTTCTTATAGTACCATAATGCAAATACAATTAACAGTTTGTACAGTGTTGTGCATGTTGTCAATTCTTCAGTTCTCTGTCTCAACTGATAAACCTAAACTCAACAGCCCCACTGAAAGGTTTTCCAGCGTTTCTCCAGTCATGTCCTTACCTTCCAGCATAACTTCTCTGCCTGCTTTCTTCAGCACCTGTACCGCCTCGTCGTGCGTGGCGTCCCGCAGATTGATCCCGTTCACGGACAGTATCGCGTCCCCCACATAGAGCGCTTGAGTCTGATCCGCAGCCAGACCCTTGAATATCTTACTAATTAGAATAGGCATCTTGTTCTCCTTCCCGCCTTTGATGCTTATCCCTAATCCACCGACCTCCTGCTTGATAACTTTGACACATCTTTTACGGTTCGCAATCGCTTCGGGAACTTGTGAGTCCGTGAAAGGAGTCCATACTGCGGCTTTGGGACTGTTCGTGGGGTCCGGCTGGTCGTAGGAGCCGTTGGTGGTGATGCCGTTGAGGTTAATGCTGGTGTCTGTCGCGGGATCCTCGCAGCTGAGCGTCAGTGACTCGTCGCTTAAACTCGCCAGCACCGCGTGCCATCGCTCCCGTACTAGCACTTCCAAACATGCACTTTTCTGCACTCTGTTACCACAAACCGCCATCTTTGAAGCATTCTTAAAATGCCATGTGATTTCATAGACACGCACAGGACTTTACCCCCGATCAGGGAAAAAGTTGTGATTCAGGTTGAATAGTTTCAGCCCCTCATAGGCTCCGCAAGCATATCCTATTTGGGTGGAGCAAATGTCCGAGATGTCCTGTGTAGCCATGCTGAACCCTCGCTCTAGCAGCGAGGAAATGTTTGGATTGAAGTCTGCGTGATTCATCGAAGTAACGTTACTGGACACACGTTTTACCTTTAAATGTGTTTAACACTTACTCCTCTAATGAAAGATGGCCATTTAAATCGTTCAATCGGTTATATTTCGTTATGACATTGGTTATTGGGTCCTTTTCATGTTTGAAATTGGCAGTTTTTGATTCATACGATGTCTTTCGAGGGATTTTTAAAAGGAATGCATAGCTGTGGGAAATATTCTAGGACAGGTGACGTTCCGTCAAACGAAACGTGTTCTTGCGATTACATGAGGGCGATTTCTGTTCACGAGCGTTTGTTTACCTCGTGAAAACACGCAGCCGCTTACAATTGTAATCAGACTTTTGTGGTTTAAATATTGAAACTCTAAATATCATAATGGTAGGCCTATTTTCATTTACGAAGAACATTTTCTTTTAAAACCGCAATAACCATCCATAGTTACGTCTTATGGAACATTGATTTCCGCTGATGCGATTCACACTAATTGCAAACATTGCAAACGTTTTGAATGAAACTGAAAGTTGTTTTGCAAATTCGTTGATGTTGTCTTTAAATGTACGTAATGGAACAAGTTTATTTGTGATTATTATCTACAAGCAAGGTGACAAATACGGATATGTGTGTAAACAATACGTTGCTTGCAGTGAAAGGTAGTCCACCAGACTACCACAGTCTAAAAAACACAGAGTTTTTAGTGCCATCTCGTGTTTATTATTGGTTACTGCACTTATATGAAAATAAATTATGTATTGTAACAAACAAAAACAATTTTTTTTTTTACAATATTACTTTGTGGAATTTTTTGTGTATTCATTAAATTACCAGATTCCACTATATTTTTTATCCTTACTCTCTTTGCATTTCATTAACTTATTGATATTCTCTTATTTTGTTGGCTTTACGCTCTTGTATGTGAAGATTTTCCACAAGTCTTGTTTACTACTGTATATGTCCACAAGTCTTATTTACTACTGTGAAATGTAGGTACATAACACACATAACAAAACAACAATAACTACATAAAACATAACAAAAAAAAACAATAACTGACAAAGCCATGGGGTCATTGTTTGAGTAAGCACTTGTTGAACTTTGTTTGATTAAAAAAATGATGATAATAATAATGAACTAAGTTCAGAAAAAAATAAATAGACTAAATGAAGCCCTCAAAATAGCCATATTCTGTAGGCATATAGCAGATTATTCACAAAACTGATGTTGATATGAAAATCTCCATTAGTTTCACTTCCACTCCACTCTTACTTTCAGAAGCTGACTTTGAAGCAAACACTTCAAAAATAGCAATCAAACATGATTAGAATTAACCAAACTGTATCTAAAGTTACTGAGAACAACAATAGTGTTGCTGTGATTTAAAGGTGCCCTAAACATTGTTTCATGTCACTCTGGTATTGATTAAGATTAAATAAAGGATTAAGAGTACTTGCATGAAATTTATTAGTTAACCTCACTACAACTTGCAGGAATTTGTGCCTGTAATTTACAAGGGCTGCTGTACCCAAGGGAATGTTTTCCCTCATTTCTTCCTTTCTAATTTGTGCAAGTGCTTTTTGTCGGTCCCTCACGATTGTGAAACAGCAGGGAGGCACATGCTGCTCATTAGAGTTGAAATAAAAGTCCATGTTGAAACGTCAATGATCTCTGTATAGTGAGAAGAGAATGACTCAAGGGTGAAAGACAGATTCTGCGATGCACTTTTAATACTTCCTCACCACCATTCTCTCTATGTGTGGTTTAGTTAAAAGATGATTTAGCCTTCAAAATAAATCATCAGTGACGTGAAAATTATTCAGTATTTTGTCAAAATTTTAGTTTGAGGTTTTAAACAGGGTCAAGACGGTTTTATAGCCTTTAAAAATGTAAGTGATAAATAAGACAAGTTTAATATGTTGATGTACTTTCCCTATGATCCTAAAAGTCGACATGAAACGGGTGTTGCAATAGATTTATTGACATTTCCGAAGACTTGTCATTTCAATATGAATCCACATGATCTGTAATTTTGAAAAATGTTAACCCTAGAGAAAAATGCGAAAAATGTTACCCCTAGAGTAACCTTTTAATTTTGCCCTTGAAATTTAGCTACCCTCCTTTACCAATTAAATATTCGTGGTTACTGAAACATGACATATTTATATACTTAGAAGAAGAAATAATTAGTATACTAATTATGCTAAAAGCTATATTAAGTCCAACCTTTTGTTTTTATTTATCTGCCTGACTGTCAATGTACATTGTTGGCACCGATATTATAATATCTCTTTATAATATAATATAATATAATATAATATAATATAATATAATATAATATAATATAATATAATATAATATAATATAATATAATATAATATCTATCATGCATCATGGGAACATCAGAGTGGATGATCAAGCTGTAATGCAATAAAAGTGGACTAAGAAATTAAGTTCAGTATGTCAGGGTGATCTATTAGAAATATTTTGGACCTTCCAGAATTGTGCTGTCACATTCCTTGCTGGAAAACTGCACTAAGATAAATTGCCAAGGAATTCTAAACTTCATTAAATTCAGCAGAATCTAAGAATAACTGTATAAGGAATAGGTCAGCAAAATGTATAGTGTTTTAGGCATTTATATGCACAATTTATCATATCAACTGACAGGTCATTTGTAGCACACCTTTAAACAAACAATGCCTACAAACTTGCAAACTGCCATGGTCTGAAACAAAAATCTCATTCCTCAACGCATTCTCATCCCAAGACATCATTTAACTGACAAATTTGACCATGCTTCAACATCCGACGCTTTAGGCACCCTTTAGCATCAGTTACATGACGCGATCCTAGGCCGTCATCTAACTGACGCTTTACCTTCAGTCATAAAAACGGAATTTAGTCCTACACCTCTGAAGGTGGGAAGGTGGGATCTTATGAATCTTATGCTTTTAAAGCTACAGTAGCTTGTTAGCCTCTTGCAATTAGAAATTGCCTGCCCTCCAACACTTGTTTATATGTGAAGCTAAATGCCAAATGTGTTTGATTTCAAATACAGCTCAAACGTAATCATATGGAGACATAGTTTATAGCCCCATTAAATGAAAGCAGCATATTTGGGGAATGTGGTGGTCTTAATATGCAGCACAATATGTGCCAGAAGTGTGATCATTAAAATAACACATCTAAGAAGCCTTTATTGTTCTTGAAGCCAGTTATGGATTTTATATGTTAAGGCTAATTGTCCGCTCTCCACCCTTTAAGATCCTGACCACAGAACTTACATTACAAGGAATCAACCAAATTTTACCTTGATCATAACAATTGACAAAATATGGAAATGTGGAGCAACAGAACACCTTATATAAGGCAATTAGAGCAATAACTGGAAACTCTCGGGGGGGAATTAATTGTATTATGAATAAAACATCAGTTCAACCAGTTTTTTTTTATTTATTTTTTTTTTATTTTTTTACAATTCAGTCAACTAATGACAAAACATGTTCACCTGCCTGGCTATAAAATAGAGTTTATAAAGAATAAAAACAGCAACCTCTTTAATATAATGCTGCCGTTAGAACAAAAGGACATATATTTTCACACTGTTTACAGCATTACATCTCAAAATGTGTTACGATTCAGTTCTCTGATATGCTTACAGTATTATGAACTTATAAAGTTAGATTAAAAAAAAAAAAGAATCATGCAGAACCAGGAGTGAAAGGCTTGTTGGCATTGCCATGGCAACACAATGGCATAGAGCACTTATGAATTGCTTATTTTAAAATGCTGTGAAAGGATTATATGTTACATAAATGGAAAACCATGACACCAAATACTTTGAGGCTGACAGCAGGACAGAAGAACTGTTCACAGTTTCAATGCAAAATCCCATGTGTATACTTTTCCATTGTGTTTAGCTAATAGACTATTAATTTGCCAGAGGTATTGTTGAATAATATTATCTGAGCTGGTGTATAGGTATAGCAAGGTGTGTGTGCTGACCATTAAAAAGGTTACTGCAATATTTATTTTTCCATTGCATGATTTAATTTAATTAAAAGCTTTACTGTGCTGTGCTGCTTTACATCATGACATGTATGTATATGCAATTTTTTTCAAGTTTCACAGTGCTTTTACTGCTTTAGGTCAGGATAAAAAAAGTATTGTAGTTGTAAGAAATAGAAACTGAATTTAGACATAATTTTGTAATATTAAAAAAGTTATAATATTTAAAAAAAAAACATCTGTATATAAAGCCTCTAAGTGCCATTTAAAATTTTTTTCTTTAAAAATCATTTTTCAAGCTTGTATATTTAAGTTCAGTGATTTCACTTAAATGGCAATGATAATTACCTATTAATTGTTATTTAAGTGAAATTACTAAACTTAAATATACAAGTTTGACAAAAATCATCATTAAAGAAGAAAATTTCAAATGGCATTTAGAGGCTTTTGCATCTGAACTCTTCATACACACACACACACACACACACACACACACACACACACACACACACACACACACACACACACACACACACACACACACACACCACACACACACACACACACACACACACACACACACACACACACACACACACACACACACACACACACACACACACACACACACACACACACACAGTATATCATAAATGTCAAACTTTTTTTCTAAGAAACTTTTATTCAGAAATGATGCATTCAATTAAAAGGGACTTAATTGAGAAATTTAAAGATTTTGAAAAAGATTTCTATTTGAATTCCTATTAATCAAAGAATCCTATTTGCTAGTACAGTTTTAGTGAAAATATTAGGCAGCACATCTGTTTTCAGAAAGAAATGTTTCTTCAGCAGAAAACTAGCATATCAGAATGATTTCTCAAGGATCATGTGTCAATAAACTACACTTTTTGCACATTTTAAAATAGA